AACATATTAAAGAAACGTAACTTTTAACTAACAACAGGCATTCAATATTTACAATCTAAGAACAAAATTACTAAGAATAACATTTAAACAAATAATCTTTTATAACTTTTAATCACATCTCTAATTGGTTGTACTGTTTATTTATTTTATTTGAAACATTACAAGTTTATAGTGACCCACCACCAAATGGCTTATATGCTATGCTTACAATCTTTCTTTTTGTAATAATGTATTCAGGAACAGTGTAACATTCCTTGTCGTTTGGTTTATACTGTGAAAAAATATTTCAACATCCGGATTTTCACGCAGTAAATCATTAATGACTTCCACTGCCCTAGAAGTTGGACAATTGGCGACCTATGACAAGCACCATGATGGTGGAGGTACAAAGAGTCGATGATATCGTCGGGCGTCGTCGTACTGGTGGCACGCATATAACCACCTGGCACTGGCCGGTTTATCTAACTTGTTAATTCATAAAAAATAATAGTAATAGGCCCAGCTCCACTGTTAAATGAGTTGAGTTTCATAAATTAACTGGAAAAATAGGTGCATTCACTTCATGTCAGACTTTCCGCCTCAAACCAAAGAGAAGCTGTTATAAAGCCTTTACTTTGAAACCTAAAGACTTTTCTAAGTTGAAAAATGTTCTGTCTTAACAACGAATATTTAAGACAAAGCATTTTTAATTTATCTTTTTATTTTATTTATTGTTTAAAAGACAACTCCCGCAAATTGTTTAAAAGACAAATAGGAATATGTATATCCTGTGTCACGGGGACTTTACAAACATACATGAAACGGACACAAAGAACACTCAGACTCAGAACAACAATTTGTGAATTATACAAAGAGTCATCCTATGTGGGGATCGGACCCACAACACTCAGCGTAGTAGTGAGCGGCGACCGCTTAAACCACATCGCCAAGCTAAATAACAAATAAATCTGCTTGTCCTTTTTTTTTAACGCGGAGAATGCCTTTTACCACACTCTCCGTTGGAGAAACGGAGGACGTGAGTGGAACTCCCGGAGAACCGGTCTACCCACTAAACCCCGCGACGGCCTACCTCGGTCGTCGGGAAGAGCTGCAGGAACGCAACGCCTCCCTGCCATACCCCACCATTGAGGCACATCACATCATCTTAGGGGTGACCATGATCACCCCTAAGGAGGGATGCTGCCGCGGCCCTCGCCGCTCTACACGGTAACAGGCGCAACAGCGCCCGGCCTTAGATGGTACCCCCTGGCCTCACTGCAGTGTCACCTGTCTCGGGTCCTTTTCAGCGGTCACATCACCCCAAGATGTAGACGCAGCGATCCTTAGGCAGCGATTGGGGAGCTAGCAACCTCTGCCGCGTCCCCTTCGAGCGGGATCAGCCCTCTCCCGATCCCGCTCTGCGACCTCCTTCTGGAGCATAACGTCCTTGCAGAAAGAGACCGCGGCTGGATTTCGAGCCGTGCTTGCCACGCCCGAAGCGCCTGCGTATGCGCGTTCCGCCGTAGCAATCCAGGCTCATGATCCGGCGCGGCCTCTTCAACATTCCGGACGACAGAGCGAACTTGGTCTAGTCTTAGACCATCGCATCCATGTCGGCCAGAATGTCGAAGGGTGGATATCACGTGGTCAGGACCGTCGTCGCCTCAAACGAGATTGTACGATAGCGATAGATACGATCTACCATTGTCAAGCCTTGCAGAAATCTGTTTGTCCTGCTTACTATAACTACATATATTGTTTATTATATCACCCTGATTATATTGATGTTCAAAGATTAGTGGACATTATATTATGATTATAACACTTGGCATGTGTATAGATATTATTAATACTTTGGGTCAAATGAGCAATCGGAATGCTTTGAAATAGTACATTGTTGTGATATAAAACGGCAAACGTGCAAGCTATCGTCATTTACTACTACTGTATTACTACTATAATATACAGGACATCGAGAGTAAACGTGGATATTATGACTAACATCTGCTTACAATTCAATGAGTTACTAGCCATAGGGTAATTAAGGAACTTTCAATAATTATTTCTAATTGGACTAGTTATGCAAAAATAGAGAGCATGTCCTGATACCTTAAGACTGGGTCCCACCTTGTATTGTCTATACAAAATAAATCAAAGCACTAGAGTAATAGTCTTGCGAACCAGTTTTAAACAAATTTTTAACGAAAACATTAAAATTTGTATTTACACTGTAAGAAACAACAAACAAACTGTGGTCCGTGTAGTGACGGATTAAGAATACAGAGTGTCATCACCCTATTCATCCCGTGGGTGTCGTAAGAGACGACTAAGGGAAAAAAACTACCCAAAACAACAGCACTGCAGAGAGAAGGAAAACTTGACACAAACCATTTTTTTTACGTGTGGAAACCCCTTCGGGCCGTCACCCTACCGAGGTACCAACCCGTCTGGCCAGCGTGGTATAGTAGGCCAAAACCTCCTAAGGAGAGGCTTATGTCCAGCAGTGGACTGTTAAAGGCTGTTAATGAAGAAACAATTTATAAGGCGCATAATAAGACGTTTAAGATATATAAAAAAACAGAGAGATTCCACTATGGTCACTGACATCAGATACGGGGGTCATGTATAGTGAACTCGTTCTGATAATAAGTTGTTATGACAATACTGTAGCCACACCCGCTCATTACACGTTTAATTGTTTCATAAAAGCAATTTTTCTATCAGATATAGTGCCATAAAATTAATAAAGTGATTCGCTGATCTTAACTCGTATAAGATTACATTTTACTTATTACATTCCTAATATTTACTACAAAGAAATTCAAAAGGTAATGGAAAATTATATTTATTGATCTCCCGTTCTACAAAAAAAAAATCGCCAATCGAGGTTACGTGCATTTATCTAAATGGAACTGGAATGCAGCTCCATTCAAATAATTATTATACTTTCTAGGTGCTGTAGATATAGATCAAATGTCCCATGATTGTGACATGTAGCTTTCGCCACATGAAGGATGCTGCGTAAAGACTTAAAAATTTTCACAACCACTATGATAATGATAAATATGCACTGGCATATAGCGCATTACTTTGGTTGCCAATTTATGTCGATGACATTTTAGAATAAGTTTTCTTATTGTTCAGATACGAAGTCTATGTCGGTATCTATAATCGCTTTTTGAATCAAGTTAGATTCGCGTGAGAAATATTGTTTGAATTTGATAGAAAAGCGTATACGTTGTTATCACATCACTCATGTAGCAGCAATGAACATGATAAAAATGATTATATTAATCGAATAATATATCAAATATATAATATAGTATTCATTATCGAGAATGTAAAAGTGGATCACCGAAAACCGATTTAATATTAAGCTTGGTAAAAATCATTCTTTTCACTAGTTACCAAGGCAATAAGCCCAAGAGACATCATATTGTCTATTCCTATTAATTTTATTTGTAATAGATTAGAGAATTTAATATAATAATAAAACTTTTTACAATCATTTTTTTTTCCAAATTCACTTATATGATAGCTAGGGCTTTTAAGGACTCAATGTGAAATCGATTCCATTGTTTCGTCCATTGAGCGATTCTTAGAGAAAACGTTCTTTCCACGTTATCATTATGTGAAATAATGCCGAATAAATATTGACATATATTTATAGGTTCAGTACAGTCTATACAGTAGCTTTTACTAGTCTTGAAAAAGTCAATCCATTGAGTGGTTAAAAGTTGAGAAAAAAACTCGGAATTTTGACTTTTGAATATTCCGCGCACCAAGCTACGGTGGGCCGCGCCAATTGCGTACGACGGTGCGTCATGCGGTATAACGTACGTAACCGGCGCGGAAATTCAATTTTTTTTTCTTTTTTTTTCAAAATTAGAGTAACGCCAGCCGGACGCTGGATCAAATGCTAAAATGCCTGGCCAATAAGGCGAAAGCCTGGCACATGGTAACTCTTGCTGCGAGGGTCTTCATGCTGCGCAAAACATGCAAACGAAAGTGGGTTACGCACATCTCTACTAATATTATTATTTTGAATGGTTTCTAAAGTAGTTGATAAGTTTGAGTAGATAGTTTAACATTCATAGCATTTCAGCGAAACATTTCAACATTCAGCCAACTGGTTTATCATTAATCTTCATTGGAAATATAGAATTCTTAATTATTTATTGAACTGATATAAAGCTGACATCGACTCTCAGTATTACTAAGAGTAAATCGGGTTTGGCACCGATTTTAAACAGACTAGAAGGTATCTGTTGCTATTACATTGAGGGTCACACTTAGTTTAGTTTTATCAATTAGACTTGTAATTCTTTTTTAATTCTTAGTGCTCTTTCGTTGGGTTTGTTTGAAGTCAGTTTAACTTTTTTTTAAAGGACGTATTTAACCAGTTGTAAGATATATTTGTAATGAGAAGATACGATAGTTAAAACACTACTAGTCAGGAGTCAGGTTACATTAAATTTAGTTTAATAAGTCCATTACTTTGTTTACATAAGGTAGTAAGATGTTAAATTTGAACCTGAAAATAAATTGTGTCCGACATTACTCAATATTCTACCATTACAAATATCTGGAAAGAATAAAAAAAGGTCAATACATGATTATATTATTGAGTCGAGGACCTTTTCATCATCAGCTCAGCGACATGAGATGATGACTACCAAACGCAAATACCTGTATAGTTATAGAAACAAGCTAAGGTCGGGTCTGTAAATTTTAAGGGTTTCCCTCGATTCCTCTGGGATCCTTTAATCAGATCCTGGTTTGGTGGTAATGGGACTACTTCGGGAGTTCACAATGACGGATATATCGTGTAAAAAAATACATTCAAATTGAAAACCTCCACTTTGGTGTTTGTGAATTCTGTTGAAAAGAAACCCTTACCCCAAAAAGAGCGTAAGATAACCGAGTCTATTAATTGTAAAATTGTTACAGAAGCTGGGTAGAAGTCACCTCTAACTAAATTATGGTGTAATTTGTAAGTAGATAGATAAATTTAAATCAAAATGTCAACGGAAAAAAAATCATTGGTGATGTCACCGAAAACGCAACTAATAGTCAAATTGGTACCTCCGGATGGTGGCTGGGGATGGATGGTTATCATAGGTACTGCTCTTAGTAATGTAAGTATTTGCACCAAATATTTTGTTGGTTTTTCCGTTATTTGTATAGAATAACAATAATCTATTCTTAACATACTACCTATAACAAATAAACGTAGACGAATACAAATCTGTGATTGAAGTTTTTTAATTAAGTACTTACTTCAATTACTTAAGGTACTTAAGTGTAGACAGGTAATAAAAACTTACTCTGATTAACATCATAACTCTAAAAGCTTCAATCAATACCGCATTTTCGTTTAATGTGAAATATAAAAATAAGTGTGGACAAGATGTTTTTTAGCCTTATCTAAATCATTACACTAAAGGTCGCTCTGCGTATAACGTAATATTAGAGCCAACAATTTATCAGTAACCGATACCGATAGAACGTTATACACAAAAACAATATGAAACAACATTATGACGTTTGCGCACAAAATAAAATTGAAGATATTACAATGGTTATTTTCATTAACTTCAAATGTTCCTTTAGTTAGATTGATAATTGATTGTTTGTATATCCATTATTATTATAAATAATATAATATGCATAACTAAGATTTTTATTACGTTACAGATTTTCAATCAGTCAATGCTATCATTATTTAGCCTGTTATACGGAGATGCACTTGAGGCTATGGGGCATGAAACGCAGGGAGCTGCTTTAGTATTAAGTACAATGTTATTTGTTTCGAATTTTGGTGGCCCCATCGCTGGCGCAATAGTTAAGTTGACGTCCACGAGATTTGTGGCTGTAAGTGGAGCAATCTGCTGCACTATTGGAATATTTTTCAGTGGATTCTCAACGAATATATTTCATTTGGTGATTACTTACGGTGTTTTACTAGGTTAGTCAAAAAACATATACTAACGATTAAAAAAATAATTAAAGAAAACATTAACGTAAGGAGAACGTTCAAAAGTGTTAAAAATCGTCGAAATTAAGCATTTTAATTCTTTGCGATGCGTTGTTGTTGATGCGATGTATATTTTTCTGTTTATTATATTTTAATTACACATGAAATTAATACTAATTCAAACGAAACGTAGGTACACGTTTAAAACAACAGTTAATTTATATCATTGGATAGACAATGTAACTGACCTTATTGTTTTAGGTTTGGGTTTGGGTTTTATCCAAAACTCCTCATTTGTGGCTATAAATAGCTACTTCAAGCTAAAGAAAAGCCGTGCTGTGGGTCTCGCTAACGTGGGCACAGGTGTGGGACAGACCTTAATGCCTCACTTAGTGAGGTATCTTTTGGAACATTACGGGTTTCGTGGTGCGTGCTTGCTATTGTCCTCGTTGAGTTTACATGGGGTAAATATTCATTTTATTACCTAACTAATTATCACTTCTTACGATATATTACAACTTTGAAGACCTCTTGTGACGTCAAAAATCTACCCAACGTTTAATGTTACAGATAGCGGGGTGTATGTTAATAGAACCCGTAGAACGTCATATGAAAAAGGTAGTAGAAGAAGTAACAGTAGATGAAACTCAACATCTATTAAAAGAAAATTCAAAGGATATTGTTCTTAGAAAAATATCACAGTCAAATGGTGATGTGGAAAAAAAGGAAAATGAATATCGCCGGGATAGTAAAACATTTAATAATAAAGAGCAGAATGCTGAAAAGATAAAAACAGAAGCAACTGATCAAAATGGTAAGTGTGCTAGTTATTTAATTTTGTTAACATGATAAGTACATTATCAAATAGAGCGACGGTATTTAAAAAACAACAAAAATATTAGGACACATGACAATCGTTTAAGAAAGTAGTATCACCTTTTCGAGAGTAAATACTATACATACAAGGCAAACTACGAGACTGAGGGCCTAGTGTAAGTTTATTTCACATCGACTCGATTGTCACGGTGCCCACGTTTGGCGCTGTGATTGGTTCGCGCTAAAATGTTCTTCTCGCTGTCGAGAGCGAATTGATAAGAAATAAACTCGCACTTGGGCCTCTGGTCGCATAATACTAAGTGAGTACCACTAAGCACAACCCTTAACTCAAGAGACAAGTGATTTGTAGTTATTTTAGTACTTTTAATTGTAATAATAATTACACCGGTTTTTTGTGAGGATGTGGTATCTATATATGTGTATACTTTGTAGCCAGTCAATGTTTTTAGTGACACATGACTTTTCCGCGGTTGAATATGATATATGCAAAATCACATAATAGACTAATATGGCCAAACATCAGGCGAACATCTGGGGTCACCAAGAACTCTTTTAATGTAATCGGTAACACGAGAGGTTTGAAAAATTATATTACCTTGAGGATGAAAACTAGCTCTCTACTAAGTCGTACCAAAAAGTGCGAAGAGCATGCATTGAGTTTCGGAAAATAACCCGTAAATACCATACTATGCTGTGGGATCATGCTGAGTGAATATAAGATATAAGTATCATCAACTTGATCATGATAAATCTTTCTGAAACTTAACTTCTTAGAATAGACTGGTGTCTGAAATCGTTGTTAAGGCATTATGTTGTGTGGTGCGCATATTTTGTAATATTTATTATTGTTGCAGAAAAAAATATCATTACTTCTAAAATGGACAAAAAATCAAGCCTATTCAGAAAACTGCATGATTTATTTGGCATCGCACTGTTGTCCGATATAAGATTTATCAACATAGTGATGGGTACAGCATTAGCTGTTACTTCTACACAGAATTTTAGTATGCTTTATCCATTCTTTTTGCAGGTAAGTTTTATTTAGTTCACTACGGGTAGTTTATTAGGTATAAGATTTTTTATTTTAAAATGCACCATTACAACTGTAAACATACATTTATACCGCGGATATGATTACTTTGAGTAATATAAGAATTTCACCCGTAGAACATCATACGGGACTTTAAACATACAACTTCAACTTTGCAACTAAAGATCAGAATGAGATAATAAAATGAATGTAATAGTAGATCTAACCTAACCTAACAGTTTGATATGTAAACATTTTGTAGACATTCCTAATGTACTGATCTCAACATAATAAATATAGTTTGACAATCCTCATTACCTGATGATGATGGTCAAACTATATATTTATTCGCTTATAGATTATTCGCTCTCTTTAGAATCTTTTAAATTATTGAAAATTTAGGAACGAGAGATTCTATACAAGTACCTATTTAATTGCGATGACTGCACACTGCGATGATGGCCTAGTGGTCACCTAGCGGATTCCTACTGCGCTGAGTGTTGTTGGTTCGATCCCCACATGTGACAATACTTTATGTGATCCAGCAATTGTTATTCTGAGTCTGGGTATTCTGTTTCCCGTTCATGAATGTTTGTAAGGTCCCCCATCGATGCAGGATATATTCCTAGTGCGGAAGTTGTCTATAGAAAAAATATGTGAGGAATATTAAACTCTTAAGTATTAATTGTGTTTTCCGTGCGGAATAAGAATACGTAGTGTCACCACCCCTATTCATCTCGTGGGTGTCGTAAGAACCGACTAAGAGAGCAAACTAGCTAACTAACTAGAGCCAGCGTGATATAGTAGGCCAAAACCTCCTTTCTAAGGAGAGGCCTATGTCCAGCAGTGGTCTATGACAGGCTGTTGATGTGGTGATGTGATGAAGTATTAGTTGTACACTTTGTAACGAAAGTACTAGTATATATTTGATATCTTTATAAAAGAGGTATAATTACATATAATACACACCTTAAAAACATTTCCTATTTATACATTAAAAAAAGAAGGAACATTACTTTCATAAATTATCTTAAAATTTATTATCTAGCTAGCTAAAACAGTATATATACATCATTAATTCTAACAAGGGGTTTAATAGAAATTCCTTTTCTACAGTTAAAGACAGAGCGACTGATTTACTTAGGTAAGTCTTCACTAGGTATCTATTCTGGATTGTTTTAGCCTTCAATTATCTCATTTATATATTATTTTAATCATCATGAACATAATTAAAGCATTCGTTTGCATTATTATGAACTAGCATATAGCCCATAGCAAATATTGGTAACTTTTTTGTTGTCTTTATTATACTTGACTTCAATTATTACTAATAATAATTTAAACCAAATCCAAAATACCTTATTGGTTTTCAGAATTATGCATCAATGGATAAGCAGCAGACAGCAAACTGTATGTCAGCAGTGGCAGCTGCAGACATAATGGGTCGTCTAATTTTACCCATATTCCAGGACAAATACAAAATAAAAGCCAGGTGGATGCTTATAATGACTTGCATTTGGTTAATCGTAACTAGACAGAGTAAGTATACGTCTAATATTAGTGTCTAGCGTAATACTTTCATAATTATGTTTTCTATTTTAGTAGAAGTGATTAATAGAAGCCAGAAAATATCTTAAAGCAGACTATAACTTAAAATAAACCATTACCCTAGTTTTGTTGCATATAAAGGATTTTAATCACATTTCGTCCAGAAGTGAAAGCTCCTATTTTACTTTTTAAATAGGTAAAGAAGTAGAAAGTACTCATAGATGTTTAGGGACCATTGCCATTATAATTCAATAGAATAATTAACTCTAGGCATATCATAGATTTAATTAGCCAATAAATTTTAAAACCTACATATATATGTCACCATATAAAATATTTTTATTTTTGTTTACAGTTTTAGCGTACCAGACAAATTTGGAAGTTTTACTTGTGATGTCAGCCCTTTATGGATTTGGAAGAAGTATGATCATCGTCGCTAGGAATATTGCGATATCTGAAAACTGTAGTTTGGATCAAGTACCTGCTGCAGTGGGCTTAGGAATGTTAACAATGGGTATTATCGTACCACCAGCTGGTTATTTTCTTGGGTGGATTAGAGATTTCACAAACAGCTACATTGCTTGTATTACGGCCCAAAATGCTTTGTTAGTTGTACTATTAGTAACATGGATTCCTGACATGCTGTACTTACAAATGAAAGCTAAGAGACAAAAGAAAGATAACCTTGATTACATGTCGTAGACTGAATAGTGTTCATGGAATACATTATTTTTGAGGAATACTCTATAGCGGATTGTTTACATATGGATAAAAACAAGACAGTTATAACCTAACAATACGTTACTCCTGGCGTGTATTTAAGTGGTTCTTCTACATGATTTGTTGATAATCGGTTACAGTTTCATGATTTACCATATCCAGGTGTCAATACTTTATAAAATTTTAAGTACACGGTATAGCCGCGTTCGAATCAATTTCATCATGATGACAAATTTGGTAGCAGAGGCACAATGATGACGTTATCTGCCAAAAATTAATTAGTTTTAAAATGTAGTTCATTTGCCTGTGGTTTGTGATATAGACACGGATCTAGGTATAAAATAAGCTGAAATTCTACGTTTTATGGTCCAGTGGTCATTGTTAGAAATAGTTGTTACTTTAAGATGACCTTAGTACCTGAAGAATTTAGTGTTGCGGCTGTGAAAATCTACATAATTACTTATTTGTATATTTATGTTAAATACTTAAGAAATACTAATAGGTGCTGAGACTGCCTAAAGTAAAATAAAAAGCTGAACAAATACTTGTACAGAAGGACGATTGATGACTTAAAAAAATGAGATGTGAATTACACAGTTTGGAAAGGCGATGTAAAATTAAAACTTCTAGTCTAATAAAATAATATATAAATGAAGATTCTACCTCAGTCTATTTTTGACCAACCCTGAATAATTTTTTATGATATTGTAACAATAATGAGAAAAGATAAATTTTATAGCATTTAAATACACTACCGCTATAAAATCAGATAAACTAGTCATTACTATGACTGGTTCGTCTGATTTACGAACAATTGCGTGGACCAACAACCACTGAATTACGCTATCGACGTAAACCCCGTAAACCCGGTGGTGGTGTGTCGGAATCGGACCGACTAAAACCTCACGGTGTGCCACTCTGCGCCTATGATAGGAGGGATCCGGGAACAGCTGTTATTAGGACATCCGGACCCCTCCTAGCGCCTGCCTGCAACGGCGCGGGCCCACCTTCGGATACATTCTTCATTTAGGCGACGTCCGGCACACGCGGTCATCGCCTCCTCGCGGTTGGCCATTATGGCGGGTGGAGGGGAAAACCCGTATCGTGAACCCCCGGCCACACTCAAGGCGGCATGAGGCGGTGGTAGGCGCGCCTCCGCCGCCCGGTTCGACGGCGACAGATTGGGTCCGAGTGGAGGTTGTCCTCCCGGGCCCTCTCCGCCGCCTCCTTCTGCGATGACGTCATCGACGTCATCGATGACCGCGGTGAAACATCTGTCACTACCGGCCATGGAGCGTATGACGGCCGGCAGCGAGAGATCCCCCCCGATGACTGCAGTGAGAACCCGGCGCTGGGGCGCCCAAGCCGGGCAAATTGCCAGCGTGTGCTGTGCCGAGTCCTTACTGCAATCGCAGTGGTGTCAGGCGGGACTCAATTCTCTCCTGGCGACCGAGTGCAGGTACTTCCCGAAGCAGCCCGAAGCTTCCTGAAGCTTCGACTATAGTTACCGGCGAGCCGCTAGGCTTATTCTTCAACTCAAAATTTCCAGATCTGAAACGATTGAATCAATAATGGACTGTATTTAAGCAAGCAGTGTTAGACCCTTACACGTATTTAATATTTAGTATTGTTTGCTATTTCCACGTAGTAGTACTTAGTAATTTTCAGTTTATTAATGCTGTCAAGAACTTCCACAATTTCACAAAAACAAAACACTATCTAAAAACAAATGACTGAATTCGAAATTATAATAACATGGCTTTTGAATAAAATTTATTAAAATTTCAAATTGCGCGCCCATCTACAGGTAATATAATTCATCTGAAAATGATGGTTTTATAATGGTTTTATGAAGAATTTCTAACTTTATTAGTAAAGACGTGACAATATATTTATCAGACACACAAATGGTTTTTGGGTAAGGTTTCAAGAATATTAAGTTAGTAGAGAATATATCTTACTAGAATGGTTCTTATAGTTATAATTTGACCAATTATTAAATTAACACATATTGTAACAATGGGTTTATTTTCTACTACTTTACCTACTTTACTACTAATTTACCTACTATCAAGGGTGTTGCTGTATTAATAGTAGTTACAAATAACCATCAGAGTACCGTACCTAAAAGTAAAAAGGAACATTCACATTTCATGAGAATAATAAAGCTTCTCACAGCTTATTAACACTTTTTGTAACTTACCACGTCTGTCATGCATTGCAGATATTTTTGGGCATAGGCATTGAAGTCTGCGTAGAGCTTTAGATAAGTAACATACTCTTAACCGATGCAAAAATATAAAATCCAAGAGAGTATTACAGGGAACTTAAAGTATCAGAATATTTAAACTTGTACTACTTTTACAAAAAAGTTACGAAATTTACGCACACTACTTTCTTTCTCTTTCTTCGGAGACACCCAATCGGCATTAGCATTATAACAAAGTAAAGTAAAGGCGAATGCATAGTAAAACGCAGCGGCCTAGCACAAGAACTCTCAAATCATACAAAGAATAGAAATAGTTGTGACAAGAATAGAAAACCCCTGATGAAAATTTTATAGCAAACAATGTTGCTGTATCTTTTTTCGTTTGAAATTATTATAAAGCCCACTAGATTTAATTTTTCGTGTGTAAGACCTTATAGGGTATTTAGTAACGAGGTGATTAACGTCTTAACATCGATGAGTTCACCAGAGTAAAACAAAATTTGATTTAAGTCACCGGCCTCCACACAAGAAGCGCTGCCCCTGTTCCCCTTTTGAAAATCAACGAGTTATGGGTGTGTGAGCAATTGTCTGCATTATTTTTTTTGTTTAATACTATACAATAATATACAATGACCTGAACTTGAGTCGATATTTCGGTTTTTTTTAATGAAAAAAGGTAATTTTAATTTTTTGGTTTTTGTTGTTTATCTTATATTCGTACATAAGATTTATTTAATTCTAACAACAACGTGTTTATTGAAGAGACCACATTGAGCCAATATCAGTGTAGGTACATGTAACTACCTACTACAGGAAGTATAATTGTAATAGATCGGTTATATCGATCGGGTAATAGAGAGGTGTATGATTCAATTTTATATAACTGTTACTAATCTTGTGTTAAGTTAAACAAATAACTCAAAACACTAATTTTAAAGCGGTCAAAAACTTTTAGTACAATATTTTCCTAAAGACAATATAACGAATACACTTATTTAATTTATTGTTTATTTAATTAACAATAATTCTTTCAATGAGCATTGTTTATTTTAATACAATTTACAGTGTCATTTTGAAATATTTAACAGAATTAAATAATAATTAGACCCGATTGGTAAATAGCAGTAGCTTGAATTCGTAAATCATTAAAGCTCATTAAAATATTCTAAAATGATATGATAGTATTAATATTGTTAGGCATCGGCACTGCATTATTCAGAACACTAAATTCATATTAACATTATAAAGCTGAAGAGTTTGTTTGTTTGGTTGGTTGAACACAATAATCTCAGGATCTAGTAGTTCGGAATGAAAAAATATTTGAATGTTAGAAAGCCCATATATCGTGAAATAATGCTCGTATCGTAATCGTATAACGTAATGCTACCTCTAATTAGAGCGAAACTGAGAAAAATTAATTCCTTTTGAGACGATCAGTTAATTCTAGCATAAATCTGCTACTCTACCCATTGTTGAAGAGAACTTTGTTCTGAGTTGCCTTTGGTAGCAACAAGGTTTTTAACAGCAACAACTTTAATACGGTATTCATTTCACTTATTTGAAAACTGATTTAAATTTAAAATTATTACCTTGACTATTGACTCGATACCTTCTATGACACTCGTCAAGTATCCCTTTCTTAATCGAATATGCATCCAGTACTACGTTCAGGTAGAATTCGAGAGTATTAATGATGATGAGAAAACATATTTGCCAAACTTTACCTGATTTATTGATCAGAGCCCTGCCATATCAGTATTTGTAATTACGTATTACACGTAAGTAAAATATTATTTTATAATAAAGAAGTATACTTTTTAAACGAATTTATTTTTTAATTTTTTTTTTTTAATAAAAATAACTTCACACATCTCACACAAGGCTGTCAATCTCTATCTTAGACTAGGCGATGGTAAACATACTTAAATATTTTATTTTATTTCATACATATATACACATTATGGACAAATAATACCAAGACAGAGAACAAATAATCGTTCTATTCTGTAATGGGAATCAAACCCCCGACCTCTGGCTTAGCAGTCAGGATCACTTACCATTAGATCAACAAGCCCGTCAACTTTTAAAGCCAATTTTAAAAGAAGTGACCACATCTGCATAAAAATCACAGAACTGTGTACTGTCATTTGAACGATTTACATGTCATTGTATTCACACCTATATTTGTATCATTTTCTCTGTTTTTTGATGGTTATTTATAATTTTACTTAGATTAAAACTAAGCATGCAAATAGTTAAATCAATAGTTTTTTTCATCGTCGTCATCAACCGTCATTAATAGTCCTCTGCTGGCCATAGGCCTCTCATTAGACAAGAGGTTTTGGCCTACTATACTACGCTGGCCAGACGGGTTGGTATAGGGTTTGTGTCAAGATCGCCTCGCCCAAACGGGAGCTCGAGTTCTCGAGTTCCCAGGGGCTGAAGGCGCTAAGACGGCGGACACTTTTGCTGAGAGGCTGCGGGGTTTATTCGCGACCACAGTTGGTGTCAAGATCGCCAGGCCTACCAAGTACGCGGAGCTGCGCATCTCGGGCCTGGACGACTCTGTGACGGCCGAAGATGTCCGCGCTGTAATCCGCGAGAAGACGGGGTGCAGCGCGGACAACGTCAGGGTCGGCACCATCCGCCCCGGTCCAGGAGGGCTTGGCGCCGTGTGGTCCAGCTGTCCCGTAGCGTCGGCCAAAGTATTGGCCGACGCCGGCAGGCTGCTCATCGGTTTCGTGAGCGCTAGGATCACAGTCCTAGCGGCGAG